ATATATATATATATATATATATATATATATATATATATGTAGCTGAAGGAGGCCAGATTCCTGGCCATTTCTGCACAGGTGCAGACATTGCTAGTGGCCCACCAACAGCTATCCCCCTTCCTTACTGGTGGAAGCCCAATTTTGTTCAGGGCAAGAAAGTGGTCAACTAAAAACTCAATTTCCTCAAATGTGCATCAACTGACGAATGAACAGTATATATCCAGACCATGGAATATTTTTCAGCAATAAAAAAGAAAGAAGTACTGATTTGTGCTACATAGTCATTGAAAACCTTATGCTAAGTTCAAGACGCCAGACACAAAAGGCCACATATTGTATGATTCCATTTATATGAAAGGTCCAGAATAGGCAAATCTATAGAGTCAGAAAGCAGATTAGTGGTTGCTTAGGGCTGGGTGGGGAGGAGGATTGAGTGGAATCAGGAGTGACTACTAATGAGCATGGGGTTTCTTTTTAGTTCTAGTTGATTTTATCACCAAAATCAACTAGATTGTGGTGATGATTGTACAACTTTGTGAATATACTAAAAATCACTGAATTATATACTTTAAGTGGATGAGGTGTGAATTACATCTCAATAAAGCTGTTAAAAAAACAAATCAACGAAATCTAATTTCCTGGGATGCCTAATACTGGGAGTGCCCAGGTGCTACAGTTCTGGCCAGTAGGATGTCAGTGAAAATACACCACAGGAAAGTTACTAGTCATCTCACAAAAAGGACTCAGCTAATTCATGCCTTTGCCTTTCACCCTTTCCCATCTTCCTGCCTAGAACAAGCTCTAGGTCCTGGGGGTCCCTAAGAACCACAGCATGCTTAAGATGCTTCAGAAAAGGACTGGTAATGGATGACATCCTGGGATCATGGCACCAGCCCTGGTTTCTCTCTCTCTGGATCTGTTATGGGAGAAAAATAAACCTGCATTTGGTTAAGCGATGGCAGCGAAATGCTATCCCTAATGATGCAAATCTAATTATCAGCCCACACTTATTCTTGGGAGCCAAAAAGGCAAAAGGCAAAAAAGCAGACTCAAAAATACATTAAAAAGTTTATTCCCAATGTAACCTTCAGTCATCATGGAGTTCATATTAATTTCTTTTAAGGGTAAATTATTTTATTTTCAAACTACACGTTTTCCCAATTTTGACATATCTGCAGGGGAGTGCTCACCCCTCTAAAAACAAATGATTAAAAAAAATGCTTTAGTTTTGAAATATTAATAAACCAAGTATGAACAAATAGCATATTACTATTTGCTAAAGAGAAATAATTTTGAATATCATCATTTCCTATTTTTTAAAAAATAAGTTTTTAATAGTTTAACAAGAACATCCGGTATCTGAAGGGTTAGGAGACATCTCCCATTAAACCCTGTAGACCTGGTTAGCCTTAATTTCTTCAAGAACTGCACTCTTAGGGAGGAAACAGAAGCCCACAGATACAACTTACACATATATAAGTATGCTTACAAATATACTTAGATTTTTTATATATACATAAAATGAATGTAGTCAATATACAGGATGTTCATGTGTCCCAGAGAATTAATTTCAATGTTACCCTGACATATTAAGGGCAAAAATGAAGGTAGAAACAAAAATTAACAAGTGTTTACATTTTTATTTTGTAGCTCCATATAATTTTTTTTATTGAAACATAATTGATTATACATATTTGTGGGGTTCAGAGTTGAATACGAATACCTGTGTACAATGTAATGATTAAATCAGGATAATTAGTATATTCATCATTACAAAATGTAATCGTTGTGACCCTTCACCAATTTCTCGCTAGCCCCCCTCCCTTCCCTCCCATCTTTCCCACCTCTAGTAACCACAGTTCTGTTCTCTCCTTTTGAAAGTTCAGTGTATTACTATAATCTCTCTCTTTCTTTCCTTCTTTCTGTATTTTCTCTCTCTTCCTCTTTCTTTCTTATTTAGCTCCCACTTATGAGAACATGTGGTATTTCTCTTTCTGTGCCTGGCTTATTTCACTTGCCATAATTTTCTCCAAGCTCATCCATGTTGCTGCAAATGGCAGAATTTCATTCTTTTTAATGGCTGAGTAATATTCCGTTGTGTATATGTACCACGTTTTCCTTATCCAGCTGTCTGTAGATGGACATATAGGTTGGTTCCATATCTTGGCTATTGTAAATAGAGCTGTGATAAACATGTCTAGCCCCATAAACTAAATCACCTCCTTTCTATTGTATGGGGTGGGGGTGCGGTACATGAGACAATAACACCTGGATGACAATCTTTGACTAAGGTCAATGAATTACTTCATTTGGGATAATTATTTTCATGTATAATTCCAAATAAAGTTGACCTTGTGGTGTTACAGAAAAAATTACCAAGGAAACGCAGACACTCAGAGAGATGGAGAAGTCAGATGATTTATTACGCTAGTTGTCCCAGGTGAACCCTCATTCTGAATTCCTGGGCCCTGAGTGCAAGGAGAACTGGGGTTTTATACCTTTCTTGAGCAAGCATGCAAGCTTTTCTATTGGCTCTGCCTGTATCCAGGCAGAGTCACCCAAACTGGGGGGCTTCATCAAATGGGTGAGGGGCTTCATCAAACTGGGTTACAGAGGCAGGAAATGTGGTTAAGGGGCTTTTTGTAAACCGAGCAGGTAGCTAACTCCAAAGCGAGCAAGCGGCTGAGTTACAGAAGCCAGAGATGCGATCAACCATTAACCACTAAACCAGCTCTCAGGTGTCTCTTACAAAGAAGCTTATTCCAGCTGCAAAGTTAAACAAGAAGGGGGGCTTAGAAATTTACATTTGGGGCCTCTTCAGTGGAAGAAAACAAACAGAATTTGCAATCAGGCTAATTTCCTGTGACCAAAGAAAAAGCAGAGAAAATGTAAAAACGTGGACATAAACAGGCTGTGGGACAGGATATGGATGAGTAAAAATGTCTAAATCTGAAATTATTTTTTTAAAATTTAAATAAAAAAATTAATATTAAAAAAATTAAATATTCAACCCTACCATGTGTCAAGAACCACTTAAAGCAATGGATATTCAGACCTGAGTAAAACACAAGCCCCTGTCCTCAAGGAACTCACAGCCAAATGGTAAAAATAAACCCCATCTTACCTTTGTCAGAATGCAGACCCATGGAACAAAGCCGATCAGCAACTACAAAGCCTGAAGGAGAGGGGTAAGGTGTGAGAGGAGTCTTCTGGACACCAGGCAAATGAGTGGAGCCTGGCCTTCTATAAGAAGGCACAGCGAGTGCACAGGAAAGGACACATGGAGCAGTACGATGCACTCAGGCAGGAAGCGTGAGTCATGAAGAAGCAGGAGGCAACACCGGAGAGATGCGTGGAGACTCTGTGCACCTAGAGTTCTGAGCCATACCCTTAAGGCTTGGGGAAACTGCTGAAGGGTTTAACCAAGGACAGCAGCTCAGTGTTAGGAAGTGTTACCCTGGCAGTGGCTGGCTGGCTTAAGGGCTGGGAATATGACAGTGATGGTCTGAAGTCCCAGGGAAGCCATCTCAACAGAGGTAAACTTTCATATAATGGGACTGTGAAAGTTTGGTGCACCACCTCCCTCCCCCACCCTCATATTTTCTCCCCTAGTAAAAATACAACCTTCACGACAACCAAAGGGACTAGGGGCCTGAGTGGAGAGGCTTTCATGCTCTCAGTCCAAGTGGCAAGAAAGAGAAGTGCCCCATACCCTACAGGAATTTTTCTCCCCCTACTAGATCATTCCCATCAGCCTGCAAAAACATTTTCCGGTACTGTATCTTCATCTAGAAAACAAACACACTCTCTTTCCTGTTCCCCCCACCCCACCCAAAAAACTTCTTGATCTCCTCTAGTTGCTGCTGCATTTCCCTCCGTAGCAAAACTTGTCACTAGTGCTGACTACAGTAGGGTCTCCACTTCTCCGCCTGATATCCACACTTCAGCTTGCTCCAACCCCCACGCTTTTGTCAGTAATCTCCCTATTGCCAAATCCCGTGGAGGCCTCTCTCTCCATTTTGAAACACTCTTTCCTGGGCTCCTGCAACACCTTATTCTCCTGTTTTGTTGTTGATTTTAACGACTAGTGTCTTCTCGGTTTTATCTCTTCTTCCTTCACTAGACTGTAAATGTTGGAGTCCTCAAGCACTCATTTGAACACAAAAAATGCACTGAATGACAGAAGGGATGCCAGAGTTGAACCACTCCATGTGCATAATACATAGTATGTGCTAAGTAAGTATTTGTTGATTGAATGCCTTCTAAGAATGCTGGATATGAACAAAAATATCTGTGACTAACAAATGGTTTAAAGGAGATTTTTAAAAAACAGCCATTTAGGGGACTATTTCATAAAACCAAAGAACCAATGTTAATAAACAGTACAAAGAAAATCATGCTCCTGGTTTATTTGTGGGTGACCATGTACTGTTTGAGCTATTTTTCCAGATGTGTTGCTGATTTATAAAGATCTTTAAGAACAGCAAGAGTCTCCAACTAGCACCCATTCTCCCTTATACACCTATGAGGACTAGAGTAGTGGCAGGCACCTGCATGCATAGTTATCTAGGAGGCCCTTTCAACTTGCCTCAGGCCAGTTATAAAACTGAGCATACATACATACATACCCCATACTTACTGGCTCTAGAGAAATGTGTTAGTGTTGTAACACTTCCTTATAACAATAATTCCAACTTTTTATTAGAACCTAGAGGCTGAGTAAGTAGAGTCAGCTATAACTGTGTGCGTGCTTTCAAGTCTGAGTCAAACACTCATGAAATAAAACGCAAATATCTAGCAGTTGTGTATTCAAAGACTCATCGGACACAAGAACCAATCATTCATTATGAACAAAACTTTCAATACTGTCATAATATAAAACAAATCCTTTAATTTTTCAAGTGTTTTAAAAAAAACCATTTTATACATAAGCCAGCCTTGAAGATAAGCACAAAATTTACCAGTTTACATTTTCTTTTAAACCACAACAACTCAAGCACCCACTCTGTGCATAGCACTATTCTAGGTGCAATAAAAGGGAATATTAACCTTAGAAACATGATTTCACTTTCTGGAACTGTATAATCTCCTTTCCCAGAGAGTAAAAATAAATAAGATTGCCATTACTTACTACTGATCTGCCCCAAACCCACTTCTAGCTCACAGAAAAGCTAATTTATGCCAGATTTAAGATATAATGAACTCAGCTACTGCTTCTTCAAAAATAAGAAAGCAGAACTCTCTTTCACGAGAAAAATACAAATTAATCAATTTTCCATGTAGGGGCAGTTTGTTCCTAGTAAGTATTTTATTTTTAAAAAAATTTTCCCCCTAGCTTTGAGTTTTCTTCTTCCAATATTGCCTTTTCTTGTACAAGGCAAACCAGACATCTTATCATCTGTTCTTCCTTTCCTAAGAAAAGTATTGCATCTTGAAGACGAACCATTTCCAAGAGTAGTGATAAAAACTGTATTAAAAAAACTTTAAAGGTGAGCCACCTACATTACCTTGATGAAGTAAAAAAATATAAAGCAGTTGGCACTAAGATAGCTACTCCAAATATCTGTGTCTAAACAATTTCAAAAACTGTTTATTTTGTAAGAACGTACCCCTAGTCCAAAGTAACTATGTTTTAAAAAAATTTTGGCCAAAAAATTTACAAAAACCCTTTCAGTTCAAACCTAATAAAAGTTATCTCTAGAAAATATTCCACATAATTAAGTGTCTTAATAAGTTCAGATTCTAAAGCATTCCTAAGGCACGGTGTTCTGGAAGACAAATGTGCTTCTGCTGGTGTTGTGTGCTATATGAAGTGTCCATGACAGGCTCCAAGTTAGCCCCGACAGGCACCTTCCTCCTGATGCTGTGGGACAAGTCAGACATAGGCTCCCAGGGCTGCATGGAACTCTGTGAGACACTGTACCAGCTGCTGAAACTTGGGCCTCTCCTCTGGATCTAAAGCCCAGCAACAGGCCATCACAGCAAATCTGCAGAGTGACAAAAATGGAAAATTTGGCTAGTAACGATACAGTACTCCTAAGCATTTTTGCTCAATTTTTTTTTTTTACCTTTTTGTCTTTTTTCGTGACTGGCAATGGATCGCAACCCTCAGTGTCGCGCCCGTACCGGACCGGGACCGGCTACAGGATCGCAACCCTCGGTGTTGCGCCCGCACCTCGCTCAGCCAGTGAGCGGCCGGTCTGTATGTGGGATCCGAACCCTCGGCGGGAGCGCCACCGCGCTTCCCAAGCGGCGCACTATAGCAGTGCGCAACCGGGCCAGCCCATTTTTGCTCAATTTGATGCCAGTTTTCTAAATGTGGATATAAAGAGGGTGATATATTAAAAATTGATCAATTTTACTATCTTTTGGCAGTTCTAGAATAAAAAGAAGCTAAAATAAGCTATTTGAATTATGTGTGGATTCTAATTCTTCATCACAGTGTATCAAAATATTTCAGCAAAAACAGAGGTTTCATATAAATACTAAAAATGCAGTCAAAATAATAACGTGTGTTATCCTGTATTTAATTTCTTAGAGAAAGAACTTGAAGGAAGAGGAAGTTTTATCTAAGTTTTAAGTACCCTGGACCTGCAGTAAAATCAGTGCAAAAGCTGCCACCTTGCCACAGCACAGAAACCTTCAGGGGATTTTGGAACTGAGACCACACTCATTTGCACACCCAATCACCCCTGAATAGCCTCCTGCCCACCCCATTCCCACTTTCTGGGGAGATGAGCTATGTGATGAAAGAGGAAACAGAAAGCAGCTACCTCACTCATAAGCCCAGAACATCTTCGTTACATATCAACTGACACTAGCTAGCAAGGCAAGATGACAATGAGGAAGGCTTTTTGTAACTACTGCGCCTTTACACTTATTCTAGAACTGCCAAAAGACAGTAAAATTGATCAATTTTTAATATATAATCCTCTTTATACCCACATTTAGACAGAAAACAAGTCAGGTCCTCACTCTATACAGAATAACTGACATAGTATTCAGTCAGTTTTCTCACTATATACATTAGCCTCTCGGGCTTATTTGTAACGCTTAGATTAAGTACTACAAATACAAGATGAAAGGAGTCCTAATGTCAAATGCATGAAAGAGTGAATGAATCTGCCTAACTTCGTGGTTCTCTACAAGAGTCTAATTCAAGTCCAAAGAGTCATTACTCTTAAAAGGGAAGGCTCTGCATGAAAGTGGAAACCTGTTGTTTTTTTTTTTTTTTAACCCCAGTATAGTAAATGGAATCAAACTTATGTCTTCAAGCACAGAAAAACTCACAGTTCATCAGGACAGTTGATTGGCTGGGCTATTCGGTAGCCATCTTTCAGGTATGCAGCCATCTCAAAGGGGTCAATATCCACATAGGGCGTCTGGCCCAGAGTCATGAGCTCCCACAGTGTTACTCCAAATGCCCACTAGGAAAGAAGGAGCAGCACAATGAGAGGACATTTAAAACAGCCAGCTATAGGCCAAAAATAGCAGTTCAACTAATTCTTAAGAATGTTATTTACAAAAAGAAGTCTATCATACCCAATTAGTTTCTCTTGCTGGGACAGAAAAGAGCATTTTAATGACTGCATCCTTTAATGTGAATATTAGTACTGTATATTCTAAGTAATTAGATCCGTTGCAAGGAATATTTTTTAGTGTTGACCACAAGCTGTACCACCTAAAACTATGAATTACTTCTAAGATTTTCCTACTATGAAAATTTGTAACTTTAAATACAATAGCTAGTCTGTATAACTGAGAAGTGGAAAATGAATGTAACTTTACCCTGAGGGAAGAGCATCCAAGTGAAATATGCAAATTATGTAAAATATAAGTAGTCATGGAGTTTTTACTATATTTTAAAATTTAAATTAACATGTGAAAATATCCTGAATAAATATCTTCCAACCTTGTTTGGGGTAAACAATCAGATTTATTTAACATCAGCATGTGAACTACTGATAGGAGCAGAAATTGTAAGCAGTACCAACAGTGCCCATTTGTGCTCTGATCAGGCTCCCCTGTTCAGCCCAGCCCTGTCTGCACTGTCTCCTGGAGAGGGTTTGGAGGGCAGGCAATCTGTCTACACAGAGCTGCTGCCACATGTGAACCTTGAAGTCGGAACAGCTGAAGCTGGATGAAGAGGATAACTGTGTACCATGGTATCATGTTTATGAGTCTCTGTAAGTTCTAGGCATCCTTTATCATATTTAATCTTCGCAACAAACCTGACAATCAATGGTAGCTTGATTTTTACAGGGTGAGAAAACTGAGCCTCAGAGAAGTAGCTTGCCCCCAAATACACTTTTTAATGAATGAAAGAGAAAATATGGGGAAAAAAGGAAAAAAAAAAAAAAAAAAAAAACAAAAAAAAACCCCAAAACCCCCCCAAAAACCCCACAAGCAAAAAACGCCTGTTTACAAAATTTATCATATTTAATCTTCGCAACAAACCTGACAATCAATGGTAGCTTGATTTTTACAGGGTGAGAAAACTGAGCCTCAGAGAAGTAGCTTGCCCCCAAATACACTTTTTAATGAATGAAAGAGAAAATATGGGGAAAAAAGGAAAAAAAAAAAAAAAACAAAACAAAACAAAACTCCAAAACCCCACCAAAAACCCCACAAGTCAAATACGTCTGTTTACAAAATTTACGCACAATGCATTTTAAATTTTACATTATCATTTTTCAACAATAACAAAATCGAGAAATACTCTATAAAATATGAAGATTTTTTATTTTTTTAAAGTTTTATATGCTCCTCCCGCTTCCTCTCTCTACTTCCCCTTGAGCCTCAGCCTCAGGAGCCCGCAGAGCGCCCGGGAGGATGACGGTGGTGGGAGACCATGGGGGCGAGGGGGCTGCAGGCCTGGGCGGTGAGGCGGGACCAGGGCCGGGGACACGCGGGCCGGGCCCCTCAGCCAAGGAGCACGAAGGTGCCCCGGATACCGCACCCGCCACGCCGCACCCTGAGGAGGTCGCCACACTGCGCAGATGCGGTGGGAGCTGAGCAACCGCAGGAAAATCCTGGTGATGAACCTGCCCCAGGACAGCAACTGCCAAAAAGTTAATCATTTGTTAAAAGCCTTCGAATTAAAGTATTGTTACGTGGACAGAAATAAACAAACAGCTTTTGTTATCTTATCGAATGGGGAATAAGCCCAAAATGCAATTCAGATGTTTCATCAATATTCTTTTCAAGGAAAAAGACTTAATAGTTTAGCTCCAGCCAACAGACGCTTTGCTGTGTATTACCATCCTGCCCCTTTCTTTTACATTAGAAGTGTTTGAAGAACTTGTTCGTGCTTATGGAAATATTAAGAGATGTTTTCTGGTCTACAGTGAAGTTACTGGCCATTCTAAAGGTTATGGATTTGTGGAATACTTGAAAAAGGACTTTGCTGCAAAGGCTAGATTGCAGCTATTGAGTAAACAGTTGGGAGCATAAGCACCCTTTGCACAATGGATGGATGTTAAATCTACTGGCCTCAGAACTCATTTATTTTAAGTGCCTTTGTATAGATAAACTTCTTAATGACTACAGGGATTCGGAAGAGCTATTGCAATTTTTTTCCAGTGTCCATAAACCTGTGCTTTGCCAGCTTGCATGGGATGAAAGCAGTTACATTGTTGGCTTTGCAGCGGTTGAATATAACACTGCAGAATATGCTAAAGAAACGGATGGTACGACCATCAAGGGAGGCAAAGTCCAGGTTTCCTTCTGTTCCCTGGGAGCACCAAGGCAAAGTACATTAGCAGCACTGATAGCAGCACACAGTGTGATGCACAGTAATCAAAAGGGCTTACTTTCAGGGCCAAATCCAATATAAATCATGAAAAGTTTAAACAATTCTGCTATGTTACAAGTTCTTCTACAACCCCAGCTATGTGGGCAAGGTGTTAAACCAGCAGTTCTTGGAACCCCTCACAGCTTGCCACATTTGATGAACCCATACATCTCCCCTGCATTTTTACATTTGAATAAAGCACATCAGAATCTTTCTCGTGTACCACTGGCATAGCAACAATTAATGAAGTTTGAGAACATTCATACTACTAATAAACCTGGCTTACTTGGAAAAACCCCAGCCATGGTACTTCAAACCACTAGGGACAGGGTCAGCGCTTCCACTGAAAATGGACTTGGAACATCCTGGAGAAGCACATAAAACATCTAATCTGATTCCGACTCAAACAACTGTAACAGCTAGAATAGGCATATTACCATTCTTTCCAAATCAACACATTGCTGGACAAGCCAGGCCAGGACATAATACTCAATACTCAGGAGAAAAAGCCAGCCACGATGGGAATGGGAGAAGGAAATTTCTCAGGGTCACAGCCCTATCTTCAAAGCTTTCCAAACCTTACTGCTGGTGGCTTGCTGACAGGACACTCTAAGCAGCAGCAAAGCCAACCCAAAGGCACAGAAACGAGTTCAGGGCCCCTGCAAGTAAAACCAGTCTATATAAAAGACTGGAATTGCAAGCAATATTCTGGATGCAATCCTCTCAGGGAAAAGAATCACAATACACATTGGAAAAGTGCATTGTTTATTCTCCATCTTTTGGTGATTATGCACATGTGTCATCCTTAAGAAATGAAAAATGAGGCTCATCATCTCTCATCTCTGCCCCAGAAGGCAGTTCAGTGGAATCTGTTGACCAGCATTTTCAGGGCACAGGAGCATATAACATGGAAACCTACTTAAAAAAGAAGCATGTGTACTGAGTTAAGTTCTCTCCTTATAATCTCCTAAGGTTCTTTGCAGTGTCTCTCCTGTTCATTGCTGTCTAACTTCATTCTAACTAGCCATGTCCTTTAAATAGAGGTTTATAACTTCCCAGAAGGAACTGGGTTGTGCAGCAGGCAGAACTGTCAAATAAAAAATAAGTAGCAATAAGAAGATACACCAATTGAGGACATTTTCCACTAGAAGTAGATGCATCTTAATCGATGTGATATTAACTATAATCCATTGGAGAAACTAACAATGTTCCAATATTCCTTGTTTTAGGACTGGGAATAATTTTAACACCATATATAAAATTTAAAGCAATAAATGGGAAACAATTTTGTTTCCTGAGCCTTAGAAGAATGAGTTCCTTATAAGCCAACGTGCACTTCAATTTACTTTCCCAAGAAGTAATCTCATTTATAGATTTTTAGAACTTTTCTTAGAACTACAAGGGTGCAAATACCAAATGTGGTGATGGTAACGTTATAAAGACGCTCTACATGCAAACTCAATTACTACCCCCACACGAGTCACACAATATTAAACCCAACAATACAGTGATAGTGATGTCCAGCACTACTACAGATGTTCTAAGATTTTATTTACCATTCATACCATTTGTGAAAAACACAAGGTATTTTAAGAAAAGTAGCTTTGGTGATCTAATACAGGGATTGGCAAACTATATACTGGGGCCAAATTTGGCCCACCACCTGGTTTTGTGCTGCCTGCAAGCTAAGAATGCTGTTTATGTCTTTAACTGGTTGGAGGAAAAAAGAAAATTTATGACATGAAATTTATATGAAATTCAAATTTCAGTGTCCATAAATAAAAATTTATTGGAACACAGCCATGCTCATTCATTTACATATTGTCTATGGCTACATTTGTGCTACAATGGCAGAACTGAGTAGCCTCAACAGAGACCACATGGCCTGCAAAACCTAAAGTACTGACTATCTGGCCCTTTATACAGAAAATATGCTGACCCCTGATCTAAGAGCACTCATTCCCTATTTCTTTCACTTCACCTAAAGAAAGATCTTTTTTTTTTTCCTTTTTGTCTTTTTTTGTGTCCGGCAACGGACCGCAACCCTCAGTGTCGCGCCCGTACCGGACCGGGACCGGCAACGGGATCACAACCCTCGGCGCTGCTCCCACACCTCGCTCAGCCAGTGAGCGGGAACCGGTCTGCATGCGGGATCCGAACCCTCGGCGGGAGCGCCACCGCACTCCCAAGCGGCGCACTACAGCAGTGCGCCACCGGGCCGGCCCTAAAGAAAGATCTTTAATGTTTGAAACAAACATGTTAAGTAGCAAGGAACACACAGGTTTCTGTGCCTCATTTCATAGCACTGACTACTGATGATCTAACTACTAGAACAGGGCCTATTTTGATCATCAAATGCCCATTTTCCACAATATAATAGAGCAGTTTATTGCATGTGACCTTTGACATTACCATTTCCTGAAGATCTTGGTATTAAATGTATGAGAAACCTTTTGCCATCTAGAAATTTCTAAATTTGTTCATTACTATGAGACTGTAATTGATGATATGGAGTCTGGGGTTTCAACAATCCTAGTCTTTTTGTAATCAGATCATTAAGAGCTTGTCATTTTGGGAAATGTTTTTATTATGATATAGATATCCTGTTTTAATATGAAGTCTAGAATTGGTACA